GAGATGAAGAGGGGCGAATGAGCCCAGCAGTGAGTGAGTCAGAGATGTAACTCTCCATGGCCTCCCTTTCTGGCCTGGAGAGATTGTACAGTTTACTAGATGGAAAGGGGGTGCCAGGGAGCACATCTATGGCACAGTCGTAGGGCCGGTGAGGTGGCAAGGATAGTGCGTGGTCCTTGCTGAAAACCTCCTTGACGTTGTGATATTCAGGGGGTACAGAGGTGAGATCAATGGGTTTGGGGGAATCTGGTGCCCTAGTAACTGTGGGGGGTACAGCAGAGTGTAAGCAATGTGAGTGACAGAATATACTCCAGTTAACGATAGACGAGTTGGCCCAATCTATGTGAGGGTTAGGGAGCTTTAACCACGGAAAACCTAAAACGAGTGGCGACATGGGTGAGGGGATAAGGTACAGGGAGATAATCTCGTGATGGTTACCAGAGAGCTTGAGGGAAACTGGAGCAGTACGGTGGGTGACTTGGGCTAGGAGTCTCCCGTCTAAGGCAAACACATCTTTAGGTTCAGGAAGAGGCTCAAAGGGGAGCTTAGACTGCATCACAAAGTCAGAGTCAATGAAATTGTCATCCGCACCAGAATCTATCAAGACCTGAAGCGGAAAAGAGGCCTGAGACCAAGAAATAGTACCTTTGACTGGGATGCGGTTGGAGGAGGCTGAGTTGATAGAGGTATGGCTCATCAGTACTCCCCCTGTTGCTGATGAGCCAGGTCTTTTGGCTGAGTAGGACAACCGGCGCGGAAGTGACCAGCCTGGCCACAGTAGAAGCAGAGTCTCTGATGAAGACGGCGTTGACGTTCTGATTGGGTAAGCGTCATCCTTCCCAGCTGCATGGGTTCCTCCATGAGGAAGGGAGAGGCCTTGGTAGCAGGCGAAGCACTGGAAGGCCAGGAGTCTGGAGGATGAAGAGAAGGTCCAGGGAACGCAGGCTGTCTAGGAAACTTGGACTGAGGGGGAAGGGAGGTGGAGCTATGCTTTCCTGATCTCTCCCTACGCCTCTCGCGGAGGCGGTTATCTAATCGTGTCGCTAAAGAAATCAACTCCTCTAAGGAGGAAGTTTCATCCCTGGCAGCTAGTTCATCCTTTAAATCATCATTTAACCCCTTACAAAAAATTCCCAGCAAGGCCATGTCATCCCAACCGCTCTCAGCTGCAAGAATGCGGAAATCTATAGCAAAATTAGCAACAGAGCCTGAACCCTGGTGGAGTGAAAGGAGTCTTTTACCAGCCTCCTTCCCCCTCACTGGATGATCAAAAACCTTACGCATCTCTGCAGTAATAGACGGCAGAGACTGACTGATAGGCGAGTTGCTGTTAGATATGGCAAGGGCCCATGCTGCTGCTTTATCACTCAGTAGGCTCATAATAAAAGCAACCCTAGATCTATCAGTGGAATAAGTGAATGGTTGTTGCTCAAACACAAGACTACATTGGTGCAAGAACTGACTACAAGACCCTAAATCTCCTGAATACCTGACGGGAGTGGGGATAAAGGGCTCACGAGGATTGCAGGGCTGTCGTTCCGGATCAGCTTGAGGTGGAGGAGCAGGATCTGGAGCTTGAGCATTGGCAAACGTCCCAGGCTATACTCGAAAAGTAGCTCAAAAACTGCAAAGAAACAAAACAAAACTCAAGGCTGCAGAAAGGCACTCTGGATCGTTGAACAGCATTTAATTCTCTGGCAGAGAAGTGAGGTGAGGGCCAGGCTCTTAAAGAGCAGGTGATTATCTGAGTGGGAACAAGTGTGCCTCATCTGCAGCCAGGAGAATACCAGCCACGCCCCCTGTCACACACCAGCCCTGCAGAGAAGGAGAGACAGAGGGTGTTTCTCAATCGCGAGTACGCTTGCTTGGTAGCACATGTCTGCCGAGCATCTTGCTTCAAAAGCGAGTCAAGAATACTTCCTGGCATTCGGAAAACAAAGTGTGGAACACGCTAGCAAGTGTGCAGGTGTGCGTCATATGAGAGGCCCCGCCTTACATCTTCCGCCACAGATTTGGGGAAATTGGTCCGTGCGCAAAGCATTGTGGGGATTTTAAGACCGCGAAGTCTACTCATGTGCAGACTCGATATTTCTCCAAACGGAGTACGCCGGGCTCGGTAGATTTCCAGGTATACTGGAGATTGGAACAGTACTTCGGCGGCACTCGATGACGTAGTATGCTTGAAATAGTGGCTCTGAAGCAGCTTTACTCGCGATTGAGAAACACCCACAGTAGTGAGGGGTAAAAGGAGCAAAACAGGAAATAACACAACAACAACAAAACCCATGCATAAACATAACATCCCTTATGTGTGTTACATCACTAGAAGCGCAGGATGTGCGTTTTACTCTACATCAGGACTTAAACAAACTGCATGCATAATGAAACAAAAATCAAATGCCAGGAATATATATTGACTTACATCGTTGTTTCACTGAACAATACTAAGATTTAACATGTCTATATCCTGTCTCCCTCTCTCTGTTTAGGTCGGACAGACAGTTCAGGACTGAGACTGCACTATACCGCCCAGCTCCGGCAGTACGATGCGGGCATCATGACCACAGGTGTTTCCCCATGGACAACTTTGGCCTACAATATCCCTCCAAAAGCCCCTGAATTTCCCACCTACGGCGTGTGTAATACCACGCTCTTTTCAGAGGTATGGAATTATTCAGTATGGATTTCATGGAACTGAGACAAGTAAAGACTTACTATTTTTGCTTGTTTATGAACGTATCCCTAATAGTGTCTACTTTCCAACCTCAGCTTCTGAATCCTGTGCCTGAACTGCAATTCTTTGCCGTGATGCTGCACACTCACTTAGCTGGGAGGAAAATCAGAGTTGTCCACTACAGGTAGGAAAGAGAGATAAGGATATGCTTTATGTCAGTTAATATTAAAGTTTAAGAAAAAAAGAAACATTTATTTTTACAGTACCAAATACAGTACCAAATTGTTGGTTTCTATAAAATATTATCTAGGGTAGTTGTGTTTTGAAATCAAATCAAGTTTTGGTGCAGATTATACATTCTACTATTGTTTTCTTGTACAAATATGAACACTTTAGGAATGGAACACAGACAGGCTTCTTGGCCTTGGATGAAGACTATGACTGTGGGTTGCAGCAGACAGTCAATTTGGGGCACATCACAACCGTGAAGCAGGTAAGTCTCTTTTGCCTTAATGCACAGATGCGATGCCCATGTGTTGCACGACCATTTTTTAATAAGTTATTAGTTGTTCAAGTTAAAAACGATGATGTATGATGCCACATTTCTGTTCTCCCACTACAGGGTGATGAGATTGCAGTGGAGTGCACCTACGATACTTCCGATCGCACCAATGTCACTATTGTGCGTAAATACAGATACAGTCTGCTTTAAATTAAATCAGTATCATCAGAGACATATAAAGGAAAACATAGTAACATAAAGACTTGTATTGAAACAAATAAGAAGTATTATATTTCATGTATCTATTTGGAACTGTTACTATAAACCTTATAGTGGGCACCTTAACATGAACAAAAAAAGAAATGTTCCTTTCTTTACAAATAAATTACATCACAATTTTGAAGAAAAATAAAAACTGCTCAGAAGACAATACAACTCATAAATCTAAATTATTGGAGTGCATGGCTGTCATAGCACCATGCACTGTTTGAAATCCATTTGCTTGTAAAGAGAGAAACTCATGTCTCTGCCATGTTTCATGTTTTCCACGCTCAGATGGGGTTAGGATCTTCTGACGAGATGTGCCTGGCCTTCCTATACTACTACCCTGCAATCAACATCACCTCATGTGTTAGCCACCCAAACACAGGGTACAGTATCTATCTATAAGCTAAGACCTGATGCACTGATTCACATAATAGTTCTGGTTATAAAACAGCTTACATCCTTGAACTATTTGTTTCGATCAGATGTATTTCATAATGCTGTTTTGAAGTAGCTGTGCACTCATTTCTTACAGCATGTCTGAGAACAGCAAAACTTCAGACCAGAATACGATTGCTGAGCAGGAAAGTTTAATGAAGAACCTCCCACAAATGCAGTATGCCTTCGATGACAAAGTAAGTAACAGTCTGAATTGTTTGACAGGGTATTTTCTTTTTTTTTTACTTTGTTAACATAAATACATTTTGTTGAAGAATTGTTGTTTTCCTCCTCAGTCTGTCATTGCTTCCACCAAGTATAATAACATAAAAAGTTATTTCTATATTAAACCATCTGGGTTGTTTTTTTACAGCACAACTACTCAGTGAACGCACATGGCACAGTCAGGGATATGATGGAGACACCTGTCAGCTGTGAGACTAGCAACGCGGCCAGTGGACTCAGCACCTCCTGTAAAATAAAGCCGGCAGGAATCATACTTGTGTTACTCTACATTGCAATAATGTAACATGGTTGTAGCAACAGTAACCATTGACATCTTGATAAAGGAAGGCACAGTTGATCAAATCTATATTGTTTCAAACTTTAAAGAAGAGTGTGTATTCAAATGTCCTCCTTTTATTTTTGTATTGCATATGTTTAGTCTTTATATATTGATTATTAGTCAATGATGAACTGTCAAATTGTTTAGCAACTGACATATTGATTTTCATATTGCGATTTACTGTCACCCTGTTTCATAAAATACAGAAATACCTGCCTGGGACCAATGAACTACACACTAAAGTAAAATGTTCCACTACCTACTTAGATGCATACTATACCAAGAAGTAACTGGAAGGAATTCAGCAATCAGTCATTGTTGAATATATATTTTCCATTTAGTATGCATATGCCATGATTGTGCATGTAATATATCATGTCGGTTTTCATGTATTGTGTTATTTTTAATGCACTGTAAGCCTGAATGATGATTTGTATAGTTTACAGTTATATAAAAGAGCATTTGATCATTTCTCAATAAATATTAACAATCTTTAAGAAGTGGATGCATGTAGTTACACAGACTTTCCTCCAGGGGGAGCTCTAACATACTATGTTGCTTGTGTTGTGCTGTCAGGGAATGAATGTGTATGGCTAGCCGACTGGTAGCTTTGGCAATGTTGTCACTATCAGAATGATATCGCAGCGGGACATAGGAGAACTGGCTCGGTTTTATACTGTCACTGATCCTAAAAAGCACCTGAAAGGCTACACTGTGTACAAAGTCACCGCAAGGGTAAGTAAAGGGACGTTGGTCACTGTGAAAGCAAGGCTAATGCTAGGTGTTGTTAGCTGTATAGCTTGAGCTGTGCTAACCAAGCTAATATGATGCAAACACAAGAAACGTCGTTTTAACCTCTTCGGGATGAACTGGTAACAGCTTTTGTAAACAAAAACAAAATGTCTCTCACAGGTTCATTCAGACTATTTTATTTGTTGAAATCTGTGTTGTGTTTCACCTTCAGTAGATTGTATAGTTGCTCACATTAGCAATATTAGCAAACTGAGTGAATCCTACCTAAACGCAGTAACCTCGGTGTTAACCGCTAGATAGCTAACTAGCCAGCTCTGTTCGTGTTATAGGTAGCTTTACGATGGAATAACACTTAGTATAAATTATAAAGCATCTTTAAGATGGATAAAATATATCTAGTTCATTGTGTCATTATATTTGTGTGCATAATTTCTAGATAAATGCCTTTTATAAGAGGTATTTTACGTTGGAGGGGATTCTGATTTATCACAGATCTAAATGTAGAAATGTCAAAGCCTGGGTTAATTCAAACCTACATTTAATAGCCAAATGCTCCGTGTATCTATCTCCCAGGACAAGGTGGTGCTAAAACTGAAACCATTTCAAATTAGGAGATAAACCCTAGACACAATTCACTTTCACTTTTGGGCAATCAAGATTTTCTCTGTAAGAATGGGCTCCTGTCCCCATTGATAATAATTCAAAACTCCCAAATCAAGTGCTTGTGTAGAGAAGTAAGTCCTCTGATTATGAAAAAAAATGTTTTCCCGTCTACACTTACACCAGATCTCCAGTTACCAGTTTGTGCAGTGATTTTACAGAGGCATTGGCATGCTCCCAGTTCAATAAGAATTAGGCCAGGCTGCTTTTTCCTTTCTCTGCTGCCATCCTGGATGATATGTTTGCTGGTGATGTCTCGTTCCTACACTCAAGACTTTCGTCATTCACTGTATAATGCTCTCATTGTCACACACAGAGCTGTGTCCCTGCTCATACTTGTGCCAGCCTCACAAGGAATTCATAAACCAGCACTGGCATCCTACACCATTGCATAGGAATCAGTAAGATGGAGATTGAGTACGTTTTTCTTCGTTCTTTTCCACACAGATAATCTCCAGGAAGAACCCAGAGGATGTCCAAGAGGTAAGACAAGCAACCATGACTTTGTGAGTGTGAAAGCTTTGGCAGAGTTGACTTTTTTGAAAGACAGGAGCTTGATGGAAATGTTCCCTGCAGGGTTAGAGGATGAGCACTCCCTCTGCTCTCACCAGACCAATTTAATAACATTTTAAAATGTGCAATTTTACAGTATTCATTCATAAAGGTTACAACAAATAGCAGTTGCAAGTGACACTGGTTTGTGATGAAACTGGCTGTGCAAGATGTATCTGCTGTTATGTTCCTCATCCATACCCTTACTAATGAGATTATATAAAGGAAGGTTACCTGTTTTGACATTTCAAGTTCACTTTCTTAACGTGAGAATACTGACACTAAAGCTTTTACTGTCCACAGTTATATAATGTCTCACATCGTCTGTGAGGTCATTTTAACGATCAGTTTTGGCTCAAGACAACTTTTAAAAGGTTTAACAGAATGTTTATATCTTCACCTTCTTCTTCATGTATCTACAAACACACTGCAAACACTCACATGAAGTCTTTCTTAGCATTTGTCACACACCAAGGAATGCAGTCTAGCCTGGAACCAGCCCTAATGCAGCAGGCATGATGTCAATTACTGTGTGAAACGCATACCTCCATTATTGAGCAGTGCTCCTCTTAGGGAATAGTGCTCAGGTCAGTTCTCCTCAAACCGGGGGTTTAAGCAAACCGATCTAGGATATTATATTTGTCTTTATCCCACACAGTAAGGACCTACTTCAATCAGGTTTGTGTATTAGTGTGACTTGTGTTTTAAGTTGTTTTGCGCAAGATGGCGGTGAGATGAGTCTTTTATCTTGTCAAATGTTGGGAAAGGAACAACAGTTGACATTTGATTCCTTTAATATATCAGGCAAGTCAGTGCTGTTGTTATGTTAACCTTCTAAATGTGTGGTTTCAACAAGGCAATGAATTTGAATCATTCAGATATTTGAACAAATTAAATTACCTTTACAGACCAGTACAAAATCAGGTTACTATTTCAGGGAACAAAATCTATACAAGCCATTTGGTGAAGCTTTACATGTCTTCAAACTGAAAATATTGATTACCCAACTCCTCCTTTTCCTTATCTTCATCCGTCTCTCCTCTTGCTCTTGTTGTAGATAACAGTATGGAAGCGATACAGTGATTTCCGGAAGCTTCATCAGAACTTATGGCAGCTGCACAAGAATGTGTGTAGCCAGTCGGAGCTGTTTCCTCCCTTTGCCAAGGCCAAAGTCTTTGGTAAGAAATAAACCACTTAATTCTCCTGCATCAAACATTGTCCAGAAGAGAACATTGTTATTTTAAAAAGCCCTGTTGGATGTTTATTTGGTCATTTGGTACCTTTTTAATATTGTTTTTTGTTAGTGAATGTGTCTGAAGAAAGACTGTGATAGTGTCAGGCTTTGCTGTAGTACAAGAAAATAGTAGTAGTAGTAGTAGTAGTGATGACTGTCCCCTAGAGGCAGTTTAGTGTTATTACTTCTTCTTCTTCTTCTTCTCTCGGTTTTTGGCGGATTTGTGTTATTACTTGGTCAGTAAGCACTACTATCAGTTGTGAAATCACTCTTATGTGTGTGTGTATCTTTCTATCCATGCATGAGCAGGTCGTTTTGATGACTCGGTAGTTGAGGAAAGAAGGCAGTGCTCCGAGGATCTGCTTCAATTCTCTGCTAACATTCCCGCTCTCTATAGCAGTGAGCACATCCAAGATTTCTTCAAGGTACCCACACATGATCCCAGACCCCTATAACTTTCATACTCACCTTAACATAACACAACAATCACTGAAGAATATGTTTTTCATTCTTTTTAAGGGAGGCGAGGTTCACGACGGCTCAGAGCTCATTGGCCCCGCTGAGCCCTTCTCTGACTTCCTGGCAGACAGTTTATCAGACTGCAGCTCTGACGGTATGTTACATACAATAACTATTCCTCAGAATCCATTTTTTCTTTCTGCTTTACATGACTGTGACCTCACACAGAGATGTTTGATCATGTTTTTTCAGTTCAGAGAGACATCAGTGGTGCAGATGATCTGACTATCACATCTGAATATGGAGGTAAGGTTTAATTATGGATACAAATAATACACACCCACAATACAGCTTGGTTATATTTGCTATGACACTGCATTGTTCTCATCCCCAGGCCCGTCCAGTGACAGCGACCTGACCTCCCTGGCTGTGGACTCAGACTCTTTGGCTGGGCTGGACGATGGCATGGCCTCAGGTCGCACCTCTCCAAACCAGCCACAAGGGGGAGCCTCCAACATTAGCAGCAGCTGCAGCCCTCGCTTGCCCTCCCTTCACGACCGCCGCACCCCATCTCCCTCCCAAGTGCCTGCTTCCTCAGCCCCTAACCCAGAGGTCAGCTGGCCAGGCCGAACGCATCTTTTCTCCGGCAGTCTGAGGAAAGCCAGAGGTGGGAAACCTAAGGACAAGAAGTTAGACTACCTAGACAGAGCCAGTGAGCTCATCTGTGTGGCTGTACAGAAGGAGAAGGAGCAGGACTTCCAGGCAGCGTTCTCCTGTTATCGCAGCGGAGTGGACCTGCTGCTGCAAGGAGTGCAAGGTCAGTTTTGGAGATAGCTGGTGAGAAATGTAGGCGTATACTCAACTAATCCATCATAGTGTAACCATGGATATATCTGCAAGCCATGAAGTGTCCATGAGCCAGATACTGACCCTCGCAGCAGCAGGGTTCTTAAGTCGATCTGACATTGGCAAAGAACCATCACTTTCACTTTGTGGTTTATCAGCTTGTAAAAGTGATATCATGCTGTTTTGACAGTGAATAAAATGCTTGCACAGAAACTTTTCCCCCTGCACTATAAAAACTGCTTCGTAAAGAAAAATGACTGACCTCACTCACCTCTTTTCAGGTGAGCCCAGTCCCACGCGGCGCGAGGCAGTGAAGAAGAAGACTGCAGACTATCTGATGCGTGCAGAGCAGATATCCAGTCAGCATCTGAGAAGCAACATGGGTCAGGGGTCAACGCAGACAGTGGTGAGTGGGAGGGAAATGCCAGTGGCCTGTATGCTGTCTATGTTGGATTATGCAAATTATGCTTTATGTGCGTGCATCCACCTGAGTCCTCAAACCACTCGAGACAGTACATTGGGTTTATTTCAGAGAGAAAATTACAGAAATACTATCTATGTATAACAGATACGGAATGATGCCCACTCTGATAATCATATTTTCAAAGACACTTGACTATTCTTCTTCACATATTACTCTTTTCAGATGTCACAATAACTGATAAATGTGACCATGTTTAGATAATAAATCAGCACACCATAATATATGACATTCCTTTGTTGTTGTCCCAGGCTTTGGGGGTGCAGTGCTGCCCGTCCAGCAGCAGAGGAGGCCAGCCGAGTCCCTCCGAGGAGCTGAGAGCTTACAGGGTGCTGGGGGTCATAGATAAGGTCAGTTCAATATTATAAAGTCATGCAACTTGCACCCATATTTAATGTTTTATTTATTTTGAATGCTTGGGTTGTGTTTGTATACCAAAAAGGGATTTAAAGGTCCCATGTTATGCTTTTCTGGTTATTACCCGTCCCCTTGTGTGTTATGTAGGTTTTTATGCATGTAAACGGTCTGCAGAGTAAAAAAACCTCAAAGTACACCCTGTAGCGAGTAAAACTCTAACACAGAAAAGACCTGTCTATGCTGCCCCAGAACGCCTCGTTCGAGATTTCTATTTTTCCATTGTTTACTTCTTGGGTATAGTGACGTATTTCGGGTATAGTGACGTAACGTAACGTAACGGCTCCGCAGATTGGTCCAAATCAAATCAAATGGACCAATCCGCGGAGCCGTTACGTTACGTCCGCGGAGCCGTTACGTTTGGACCAATCCGCGGACTTCCTCACACACACACACACTCGGCGGGACGTTGCGAGGCTCGCTGCTGTGAGGAGCGGGACACTGTGAGCTGGCTCACTGGTGTGGGGTCGGCGAGACAGCGAGACAGCGCGCAACTCAGCCTGGCTGCGTGTGTGTGTGTGTGTGTTTCGCTGTGTCTCGCTGTCTCGCAGACGGCCACTGGGCTCACAGGGAGGGGGGGGGGGGGGGGGGCAGGAGCACCAACAAGCCGTTTAGGACAGAGAGTGAATACACATACTATACAGAGATGCTGTATGAGAAACCAATGTGAGTTTGGAAAATTGCACAATATAAATGTATTTTAGTATACCTCAACAATAGAATTATGATCAGTAGAAATGGCCATGACATGTGACCTTTAAACTCAAAAAACAATTCACTTTTTTTAATTGGAGGCTGGAATGTTCTGCTTGATTATCATAGTAAATATGATTTTAAAGGTGACAACGACATTCAAGGTCCTAACAAAGTAGTTACACTCAGGCAGGCACTAATATTTTCACTGGCCCAGATAAATGTGGATGTGTGAAATATCTCCTCCTTGTGTCCTTTCCTTCTTTGACCACCCCCGTTATCTGAAGCCATAAAGCGTAATAGATTTACTGAATGCTTTGGTAAGGGCTGAGTGTGTGTATGCTCAGCGTCAGTTATGAGTACCACAAGGTCAGTTTGGGTTGCTGGTCCTCTCAACCAGCTGCCGGCGAAGCAACTTCACCACTCAGCCATGAAATGACTTGGCAAGCAGCTCGGAGAGCGGCGCACAGCATTGAATCAATGATGCTCATCCTCCACAAACACAAAACCCCAAGGAAAATGTTGATACAATACTAACATGTGTTACTCTACAGAGGTGCATGCAAAATCCACAATATGTCCCGAACAAATGGGACACACCGGCAAAAACAAAAAAACGCCATAAGTGAAAACTATAGCGCTGCAAATGACCCGGCTTTCCTCTGCTCTCCTCCTTCCTCCTTTCACTTTTTAATGGGGACAGAGGGGACAGATGGAGAGAGCTCCTCACCCTGCTGCCCCTCCCCTCCACCTCCCCCCTTCCCTGATGTTTGTGTCTTAATTATATTAGCGCCCTGGCTAGCAGTGCCACTCTGTTTACTCACAGCTCCATTCATATCCATTTAGCCTGCACCTGTTTGGTCCCGGCCAGGGTCACATGGAGAGAACGCACCCGCTGAACATACGCACGCACCGCACTACGCACAAACACACAGCGGGGCACACACATATGCTCAAGCTCTCCCCTGAGAGGGTGAGGAAGCAGAGGAGCAATGGAGATGTCAGGGAGAATGAGGGAGGAAATGGAGACAGTAGGAAGAGCCAGAAGGAGAAGGTAAAGGAAGGGAAATGAGAGATAGTGAGGGCTCCATTTATGTTGGAAATTAGGCAACGGTGAAAAGAAGGTTTGGATTTAGAGATGGTAGTTATAGCATTTACTGTGTCTGCCGTGAAGCATTGCATAGACTTGTAGTGACATCTTTTTCAAGGAACACAAGACTTTTAGGAGCACAGGGGTTTATTTATTTTTAACAATAAATAAATGTATACATCTATTAGTTGTTCATCTATTGTTTAATCTATGAAACAACCATGGTTACATCTTCAGACAGATTGAACCAAATCTAGAGATACTCAATTTACAATATATATAAAAAAAGAGAGAGGCATGACAACTATATTAGAGAGAAAATAACCTGCGATTGTTTGGCATTTGTGATTGACAAAATACTTAATGATGAGATTATTAGATATGTTTTGCATCAATAAACTAATGTATTCATGAGCTAATTTATAAATAACTGTTACTTCAGTACTTTTATATTCTAATTTTCTTTATAAGTCTGGGACTTGATGTGGTCCGACACAGCAGGATTTGTGTCAATGCCAATTTGTGTAGAATTATTTAGGGACCTCCATTTATCTTGCCGTGACCCTCATGTGTGCCCCGACCCAGTCTTTGAAAAACACTGCTTTAGAGGACACCACCACTACATCATCTCAGACTGTGTGTTCATATCTGGCAATTAATGGCACTCTTCCATCACAGGTTCTTCTGGTCATGGACAAGAGAACTCAAGAGACATTCATCCTGAAAGTAAGTTGTGTGTGTTGTGAGTGTGTGTGTGTGTGTGTGTTGTGAGTGTGTGTGTGTGTGTCCTGTGTGTGTGTGTGTCCTGAGTGTGTGTGTGTGTGTGTGTGTGTCTCGTCCTGAGTGTGAAGTGTGCCAGAAGCCCCTGTGTGTGACCGGTGTAATTGATTCTAATGGGCCTATCCCTGTCAGCTCCTCTGCTCTCAGGTGTGAGACGTGTGCCAGATGCCAACGCACAGCGCGGGCACAGATGAATACACACACATGCACGCACGCACCCACACACACACACACAGCTGATGTGCACTTCACGTGTAGCACTGACAGATTTGTGTGGCTCTTTTAAAGTCACGCGCTGTATGTGGCTTGATGAATCCAGTGACTTTGGGTTGCCAAGGGGCAAAGCTGGCATCTCGTTAATAGGAGGTTTCTCCTTTGCCACGCTCCGGTTTTTTCACACTTCATTCTTCGCACAAACTAAAGCACTCACCTTCCTCTACCTTCTCCCAGTCACTTTGTTAACTCTTATTTTCTCTTCTAGTCCTTACATTTCCTTAGTTCACCTTTTGATAGATATATAGATAGATAGATAGATAGATACTTTATGTATCTCAAGCTGGGAAATTGTTTTGTGATAGCAGGTTTTGGACCGTCAAGCTACAAGATTTACAACATTTCTCAAAAAGAGAATAAAATAAACATTAAAAAAATAAACAATATATACATATTCTCATTAGAAAGTTATATTCAGACAGAATACATTGGAATACTCTCTAATATACCAATCTATTTAACATATAAACATAGTGGCTCAGTCACTGGTACATTTTTATATATAAAGCCATGTTAGGGAAACTTCCATCCTACATCTGCTCCCTGATCTCACGGCGAATTGTAAGTGGCTACTGCCTGAGATCGCATGCTGTGGTTTTATTAAATGTGCCAACTGCTAGGACTGTCTTAGGGAAAATAGCATTTAGATGCGCAGCTCCACTGTCCTGGAATAGTCTGCAATTAAAATGGAAACTGAGCAATCTGGTGCCACTAAATGTTTTTAAAGCTCGGTTGGATGCTACTCAATCGGAAGCTGTTGGTACCTGTGCTTGTGGATAGTTATGTAAATTGTAATCCCTGTAATGATACTGTATGATGTCCTTTTGTTGTTCTGTTTATGTTTTTAATGTTTCTTGTGGAACCTACTTGAGCAGGTCTCCCTTGAAAAAGAGATCAATGATCTCAATGGGATACAACCTGAATAAATAAAGGTTTGAAATGAAATGAAATAGTGTACAATGTATACATAGTGTAGACATTGTGTACAGTATTATGCTCCAAATATCTGGAACAAACTACTAGAAACCTGCAGGTCCGCTGCAACTCTGACTACTTTTAAATCCAGGCTGACGGCTTTTCTTTTTGCCGCTGCTTTTAATTGAACTATTCACATCTTAAACTGCACTGTAACTTGTATTCATGTATGTTTTCTTTTAATGTTTCTTTTATTATCTTTGCTTTTTAATGACTGTTTTTAAATGCCATTTTCTTAATGTCTTTCATTTTTGTAAAGCACTTTGAATTGTGTTGAAAGGTGCTATATAAATAGCCTTGCCTTGCCTTACAGTAGCTTGAAATTAAAAGTCAAATATATCCTGTAGTAACTTTCATTTCATCAGAACAAGTTTGTGTTGTTTCTCAGAGAAAGGGAGACTCTGCTTTCTAAATAAATGAACTGTAATACAATTATTAAATGCAAAATTGGCATTATATATTGGCCATGTGATGCCCTAACTCTCCTGTTATTACTCACCTCCTCTTCCTCTGTCTTCCCCTCGCAGGGCCTGAGGAAGAGCAGTGACTGTGGGCGGACGAAGAGGACAGTCATGCCTCCCTCTGTGCCACACATGGTGCAGCTGAAGAAATTCATCGTCTCCGAAGACACCGTTTTTCTTCTTCTGCAGTACGCTGAAGGTAAGACGCACACATCCCATCAGATTCATCTTCCCCCCCCCCCCCCCCCCTTTTGTCTTTTTTACCTCCCAACTGTCTCCTCACCTGATCCCTCCTGCGCTCCTCTCCCACTCCCCTCTCTGCCCTTGTTCCAGACAGATGTTTGATAGAGATGGGTGTGTGTCACAGGTCATTATTCTGAATACCAGGTGGCGCCATGCTTCATTAGCTATGCCAACACCTGGGCCTCCTTACATCCCACTCACTCCAGGATGTGTGTGTAGCTCGTGTGCGGGTACATTGTAATGCCACCATACTTTTTAATGCCCTGTAACCTATTCAATCTGGTGCACTCCATAACCACGCTGCACTAATATTATTGAACAGTATTTAATGTCGTACGAACATAATCTAATAAAGCTAATCAGAAATAGCCGCAGATCACATTTACATTTTTGATCCACAAAATCCAGGGCTGCTCTTTATGCTTCTTTAGTATGCTGTCAGCAGCTGATTGGCTGAATGGCGATAGACAGACAGGCAGACGGAGGGAGGCAGTGACCTGAGTGACATTGGGCGAAACAACATGTGGATGGTTTTACTTTCTAAGCCATCGAGTTGCCCCACTATCATTATCATCACTGTGAACTCCCTATCTGTTCTCATCACACACAACAGATGGTGTGTGTGTGTGTGTGTGTGTGTGTGGTGTTGTGTGTGTGTGGGTGGTGTGTGTGTGTGTGTGTGTGTGTGTGTGTGTGTGTGGTGTGTGTGTGTGTGTGTGTGTGTGTGTGTGTGTGTGTGTGTGTGTGTGTGTGTGTGTGTGTGTGTGTGTGTGTGTGTGTGTGTGTGTGTGTGTGTGATGTGTGTGTGTGTGTGTGTGTGTGTGTGTGTGTGTGTGTGTGTGGTGTGTGTGTGTGTGTGTGTGTGTGTGTGTGTGTGTGTGTGTGTGATGTGTGTGTGTGTGGTGTGTGTGTGTGTGTGTGTGTGTGTGTGTGTGTGTGTGTGTTGTGTGTGTGTGTGTGTGTGTGTGTGTGTGGTGTGTGTGTGTGTGTGTGTGTGTGTGTGGTGTGTGTGTGTGTGTGTGTGTGTGTGTGTGTGTGTCAGAGAAGTCAAAATGCAAACATTACACAACCCCCAATTTGGGTTCAGTCATAACTGTTTGCCTTGGTTACTCATTCCTAAATGGAAACTAATGACCTTCTTCACCAAAGACTTCCAGTACCTAAGGAGCCCCACAAGCCAAAGACAGGGATTACAAATGTCTTCTGTGCTTTCTTGTGCTAGTGAATCGATTACCAGTTGGACAAGGTGTGCATCTAAATGTTTCCTCTAGACTTAAAGGGGCTCAATAGACATGGGGAACCAATTTGGGTTTTTTCAATGCCTAATGCTGATTTTTAAGAATAGGGCATCAGATGGCCGATATATAATGGCAAATTTGCATTTATTACATTTCATTTATTTCAAAAGTAGTGTCCCCTTGTTTTTAAGAGACAATGAAAACTTGTTCTGCAACTTGTTCAATACATTTTTGTTAATGTTAAGTCATTTCCAACAGTTATATTGCTCTCTTTCATGCCTCACACAAGGGAAGGACCACACCTGTATGAAAGGGGCGATCTAGCACTAATCCAACAACAAATTCACTTTTTTTTTAGGCCGATATCCTCAGAAATAAAATGACAACAGTGGAGCTTTGAATTTCTCCTGAAAAAAGGACCTTTGGTTCAGTTGTAGTACAGTGTCTTTGTTGTTAATGCCCCGTCTCCTTCCTCTCCAGGTGGGAAGCTGTGGTCTCACATCGGAAAGTTCATGCGTACTACCAGCCCTGACGACAGCTTTGACATTCCCTACATCCAGAAGAGCCACACAGCAGCGGTCCACTCTTCCCAGCCGGCCGTCCCACAGCTGGAAGCGGGTTCAGTCGGTTCTGGTTCTGGCCCGGTTGCCGGTTCTCATCCTGTCTCAGCGCTGCAGAACAAAGAAGAGCCACGCAACGCCTCTCCGAAGAAAAGGCTTCTCCCCCCCCGGCGTGTTGGACAAATAGGCGTCCAGTCCGACTCCGGAGCCACCTCGGAGGAAGAGTGCACCAACAGTTATTTGAATCTTTGTAACGAGTACGAACAAGACAAAGTAGAACCAGATGCACTGGAGGAGGAGCAAGAGAGGAGCGAACAGGAAATGCTGTCACTGGAAGTGCCCGTTGCCACCACCACTTCGTCGCGTAGCCGCTCGCTGCTTAGCAACGACAGCCTCTCTTCACCCATCAGCTCTCAGGAACTCGGCTTTTTCACCGAGTCGTCCGACAAAAGCGGCCACACCCTCGACATCGAGCAATATCGTGGCGAGGGTCAGGACCACGGGGAGGTGTTCAGCCCCTTGCCCTCCCCCGCCGTGCCTCTGTCTCTGGATCAGTCCAAGCACACGCCCATGGAGTTCTTCCGTATCGACAGTAAAGACAGTACGAGCGAGTTGACCTGTCTTGACTCGGGAGAGCACCGCCCCTCTCACAAGCATTTTTCTACATCCGATCTGGGCTTTGATGTCGCTGAGGATCTTCCGGAGCTGGCTCAGGAGGTCAAATGTCACAGCGCTGAGCTCTGGGGGCTGGACTGTAGCGATAAAGGCTCCAACGAGTCGGTGCCAGTCATCTCATTTAAAGAGGCAGTGGTGGAGGACGAGGGCCAACCGCCAGACCTTTTGGTCAACCTGCCTGTAACGGGGGGGATTGTGGACTCTTCACATGAAGAATTCGACACATCGGGCGTGTGTCTGGGCCTCGAGGTCACAGCGTCTCCTCAGAAGTTCATACAGCCGGATGTTTTGCAGCTTCACAGCCAGCCTGAGGAAGAGGAGGAGCAGCAAGAGCTTTCATCTCTATGCACAGCGTCTGCTACTTGCGACACCAGTGTTACGTCTTCCTCTCCCTTCAACTCGCTGTGGGATGACTGCAGCCTGGCGTTCGGACAAGAGGCCTCTGACAAAATGATGGTCGATCCCGCATGCCAAAATAACGACCTTCCCTTTGACCTTCCTGTTACAGACTCTCTAAATGAGAAACTGGAGGCCAGTGCAAGAGTAAATACAGACCTAAGTGGCACAAGCACAGGCTTTATCACAGCCACAAATGGGACTGAGGTTGGGAATGTATTAGGTCTTGATGGGGATTCATCAGGAGTTATTAGTAATACAGGTGGCAGCGCATTTGATAAAGAAGTATCGCGGCTGTTTGCAGAGCTGGACGAGCTGTCGCTGGCTGCTTCCCAAGCTTCTATCCCGGAGGAGTTCGTACGATGCTGGGCGGTGGAGATGGTGACAGCTCTGGCTTCTCTGCACCGAGAGGGCATCATCTGTCGGGACCTCAACCCCAAAAACATCCTGCTCGACCACCAAGGTAAGACTTCCATTGTTATCACAGCTTTTAAAGACCCTAACCCTAGATTTTTTTGATAGGGTTAGGGTTGCACAGTGGGATAAAAGTACATGCACTTGTAGGTGAGAAAGACCGGCAAATGTAACTATCATAAACTGCTAGAAAAGATTCCCACAGATTCTGGAGCTATAATATTAGGGCAGCATCACGATACAATATACTTACTGAGAGTTTAGAAAAATATGAAGATTAGCTCAGTGCTAGGTACACCCGAGAATCTCATTAAACTTGAAAACACAGAGAAAATGCATATATCTGATTGCTGTCACACCCAAATACCTCAGGGCACTTTATTTTGGAGACAACAAGCCATCTATATGTATTTTTACGTCTGTTTTAAAGCAAAAACCGACAACAGGCCACCAAGTAGAAAGGCCAGGGAACTTGAAGTAACCCCCATGAATACAAAAATGTCTGTCAAATAAAAAAAAAAACGAAATTATATATGAATAGTTCAATAACTTAAGGAAATCCAAGAGAAATATTGGTGATATCTGCTTATATTTCTCTTACAGCAAGAATTAAGCATAAGTGGATCTCGTTTTCTTGAGCAAAAAGCAAATTATAAAGTGAAGATCTCATCTTTCTACTTTCTTAGAGCAGGTCAAATTAGATTAAGGGCCTTTATGAGTCAACAATAATGTAATCTTGTTACAAAAAGGAAGGCTCCCCCAAAGTGTTGTTTTACCAGGAGGTCACAGATCTCCCCCCCCCCCCCCCCCCCCCCCCCCCCTCAACTTCTTCCTATTTGTCGTCCTACAATCATCTCTCTCCACCTCGTTATCAACAAGCGTCTAATTAGCTGAGTGGCTGTTTTCGTCTCCCTGGTGGTAATTATTGTTCTAAAGGGCCCATCAACGGCGTAGTGTGGTGCATCAGTCTGGCTAGCCTCGGCTAATGGCCACGGCTACCTAATGACACCATTAGTTCTAATGATAGCGTTAACGGGTAGCCGCTAAACAGGAGTAATCGCCGGGGCTGTGTGCTTGAAAAGCTTGCGGAGGGATGTAGAGAGGCGGAAAGGAGCGGAGGAAGGAAGTGCTTTAAAGGTGAGCAAACAGTTTGAAAAGTAGAGATACTCGGGCAGAGGAGGAGCATTAGGTGGATGTTTCTTACTCTGAGGTTCTCTCTTTGCCTCCTTAGGTCATATTCAGCTTACCTACTTTTGCAGCTGGAACGATGTGGAGGAGTCCTGTGACAAAGAGGCAGTCGCCGATATGTACTGTGCACCAGGTGAGACACACATGCTAACACACCTTATCTCTATGATGTACTTTTTACTTCTTAATTATGAGCCTTGTTTCTTGGGTATGTTTGTAAGGAGATTTATGTGGGGTTAATATCACACAGGCATGCAGGGTGCATAATGAGGTCACTTTCATATGGTCACAAATGCCTCAAAAACAACAATAAACAATCATACTCTTGGGTGTAGAAACAAATGGATAGTATTCTTTTTTTTTTGTTTAAATGAGCAGAATTAATCCAAATGAAGCTCTTTTTTCTGTTCTTTTTTTACTCTAAGAAACCACATCATAAGGCTACGTGGAATAATCCCCCTGCCAGTATTATAATACATGTCAAAAAACTACACATTCTGGTTAGTATATGAAGAATAACTTTTTTCCATCTTGCGGTCCCAGTTTTGAGAGGCTGACTCTTGTTGTAGTTCCCTCTCGGTCCTGTAGAGTGTGCTGTTGTGCAGCAGTGCGGCCGGCAGCAGGCAGTAACCCGCGTGTTGCCCTCAGCAGGCTCGTGGCAGCTCTGGCATGCTGTTTACAAGCTGCCTAAAACAAACTGCTGCTAGACTACAGCACCATGTCCCTACTTAGCACTCCTGTGTGTAAGGGGGCGGGGGGGTGGGGGTTGCATTTTGGTTATTGTTTCCAATATCTTGCTGCTTTAAGCAAAGGGTTAAAAAGGTGACTTTGGAAATATAATAGATTACAGATTTAGAGTAATCCTGTTAAAATGTAAATGTATTGTAGATATTTTTCTTAACCTTTCGAACAAATGTTTCGTACTGGGCAAAAAAGTTTGAAATCGAGCGTTTTTACGCTAAACAATTTTGTTAAGAGTACTTTTCTCATTTAAGAAGGCTGATATTGTTTATTTTCCAGCACTGAAAGGCGTTCTTGTCCGCCAACATGGTCACCTGCCTTGCTTAGAGTAATTTGCATTGATATGATTGGCAGGCGAGAGGCAGTACAAACCAGAGAACCAATCAAAACCAGTCCACAACCACAATTTGGGCTCATACCAATTGAACATGCCTGTCTGGACGCTGAGACCATGCCCATGATGGCGTTGCATTCAAATGTGTCCCAATGAGGCATTGTCCAAATGAGGCATTGTCCAGAAATATACTTAAAACCGCTTCTTACTAAAATTGATATATTTCAATTTATCCCCATATTATTCACAAACATCTTGATTAATAACATATTATTTTCGATTGAAATAACAGCGTTGCATTTAAGTTGTTACTCCCTAAACCTATTGAAACATTTGTTTCACACTCCTGCTAGATCCTGTTATGTTTAGTGTAATTAAGTCAGTCTTGAATAGACAGAAATAAATAAATAAAATGCAGGATGGATAACGGTTAGCTGAAAACTCCGGAAACACTCTGAGACATACACAACAACCCTCACACCCATTCACTCTCCCACGCACTTATATTAAGTTATTCTCTCATATTCACCCTCTCTCTCAAGCCGGGAAGGTCACTTCAGATTTAAATCCTCCTTGTGACTGGAACATACAGTATGCCACTGTTGTAATAAATCTGAAAGCAACAAATGCTCTATCTAATATCCAAAGTGTGCGTTTTTATTCCCTTAGCAACAGCTTGTTTAAAAGCCTACTAATGGGAATAGAAGCACAGAGAGGCATAATGTTCAGGGGCCAGCAGTAGATGACCTAAAGACACGAGCACAGGAGTAAAGCTCAGCAAAAGGAGCTTTACGCATAATCAGGGTCTGAGTGCCGAGCCGAGACATGTGAGCCACTCAAGTCTTTGTAATCAATGTAGTCATCTCCTTATTAATATTAGCACTGTGGGGGGGGGGGGGGGGGGGGGGGGGTTATACTTTAGTGTGTATGGTAAGGTTTGAAAGGTAACCATGTAATATGCAGAACAATCTTTTTAGTTTGAAATGAATGAATTCAGTATTAAACATTTTTACTTATTTTTAAAGTGTACATTTTGTGTATTATTAACTCTTACTAAATGTAGTTATAACGGCACTATTGCAGTAGTTCTGGGAAAAAGGTACAAGTGGTTATTTTCACCATGAAATAATTTAATCACCCTTTTTTTTTTTAAAGTGCTGTACTCAAATGTTTTATTCTTTTCTGACGCAACAGTCAAAAACTGAAAGGTATTCCTTACATTTGAATACACAACATTTAAGTGGAATCAAATAAAATGGGAACATTTAAACACATTTTAAAATGTGTGGTTTCTTTACTTGACAAATGATTTAAATAATTAACGACCAGAAGGTAAAAAAACGACAACATAGATATAGTTTAGTTTGGAGACAAAAAGGAATGTAATACATTTTAGACACGGTATAAAAACGTGTCTTTATGTTAAAGCAACATCATTTATAATCACTTTATAGAATGGTGCTCTTTTAATCATATTTATCTAACAATAAATATAAGATTCCCAGTAACTATGTGAAGCCAGCGCTTTAGTGAAATGTCTGGAATTGAACCTCAGCCCAGGCGTGAAAGGTGATGTTAGTGAAACCACCGTAGATCCCATGTGGTTCAATGCATGCTGTACATGTTAGCAGCCAGCAGGGGGGGTGTTATCCTGCTGTTGAGTTCAAGAGATGCTTCCATATCTATTGACTGTCCTACCCAGACACTGGCAACTTTTTCTTCCGTCTCTTATGTCCACCTTTCTTTCTTTACATTTTTGATTCTACACATTTAACCAAGTAATCGCTGTTAAATACCTTTATTTCGTACGTTCAAACTCTTACGTTACATGTGTGTATCTGTTGATGTATGTGCTTGTTAAAACACACACACACACACACACACAGTAAGGCAGAGGTTAGTGAGTGTGTGTGTGTGTGTGTGTGCCTCTCCTGCCCTTGTTATGTATTGCTGTTTATCCAGACAGGGTCAGCTCTAGCGATGGCTTCATTCCTGATGACAGATTTATGAGTGTTTGCCAGAAAGCTAGCAGGGGGTCTGCTTTGACCGTATGTGCGTATGTGTGTGTGTGTCTGTGTAAGACAGAGGGAAACATGTTATTTAAACACACACATTCACACCCAAAAAAACACGGGAGGGGACTCGGAAAATACGGTGGCAGGAGGGTATTATCGTATTTATTCTGCACTGACGCTTATTTACTTTCCAGCCATTTCGTCATTATTGATAAACATCAGATGGCTCACGTTTTGTTCTCTAATAAGAACGAAAACACACAAGCTGTTGAGTGACAGCGCGGAGCAGGAACGGTAATTGTTTATTGTTCTGCCGAGAGGGAAGCCACGCCGAAACCGATTGTCTTCTAAGAAAAGGGAAATTCAATATTCTTCCCCAGAAGTAACCAGTCAGTAACGGATGAATCCATCATCATACTCGCTGTTTGTGTTCACCTGTTTTTTCCCTTTGACCTGCTCAGCCACAGTGTGATCTAATGGAAGATACAGTTAGTTCCCCTTTTGACACAGAGCTGTCGTTTTGTTACTTTGCAAGTAATACATTCACCCTGAAGGTACTTCTGCTTTATATTTGAATATTCTCTGTCCTCATGGTGAAGATGAGTCATAGGATTGTTTTGTTTATATACCTTATTCGGTTTCATCCACAATTTGCTCCATTTGAACCAAACCTCCCTGAGACACACTCAGTCTTGGAACTTCACACACACGATACCTCCTTACTTCCTACCTGCGTACACTCCACTTCCCCTTTCAACAATGACTGTCGGTTACGTTTTTAGGGAAGTGGGTCTAAGAGGAGAAGAGAGAAAGTTCCTTATGGCCCCCAGGAGAGAGGAGATGGAGTGTGATTAAGATACAAAGCAGGAGGGAACTGCATTGTAGAGGGGAAAGGGAAGAAGAAGAGGCCACGAGGTGAACACTCTGTATTGTTTTTAAAAGTGAACTCCTCAGTCTCCTTTTGTTTTGAAATCATGCGCTATTCAAGAAAGAAAATGCCGGCTTGGTGGAGGTATCGCACATTTCCACAGTGGGCTTTGAGTGACCCATGGCCTGTGGATGCGGTTAACTCTCCCCTCCCATCCTCTCTCTCTCCATCTCCCTTTCTCCCTGCCTCGCTCTGACAGAGCGGTAAGTGTAGCCAGCTCCACTGTACTCTCCCTGCAGCTCCTTAGACATTAATCCATTGTGATGACATCGACCTTGCTCTGAGACGTGTGCTTGTGTGTGTGTGAGTGTGTGTGTCCAGTATCTCCCCTCCAGCTCGTAACTGCGCAGGTATCACTAGTCCATTCAATGACGATCTTCTCTCCTTGGCTGTCAAAACAGTGGTCCTGGGGAGCCCTGAAGACTGGTTGCTCAGTTGGCTGTGTGTGTGCGCATGTGTGCGTGTGCGAGTGTTTGTGTGTACAAGTCGTAATCACAGCCCTCTCTAACCTCTGCTGCAAGAGAGCCGCGCAGGCCCCCGGAGCTCCCAGCAGCCTCCGGGAGACGAGGGGTCTTTGTCTCTTACGCTCCCCTAGCTGAGGAGCCTGGTCTCTGTGCACACGCAGCCGTGACCCTGGGTCCCGGCCCTCTGGAGAGAGCAGAGGCAAGCTGAGCGGCACAAGAGGCCATCTGGTACCCAGTGGAGCTGCAGCGCACACACACACACACACACACACACGCACACACACACACACACACACACACACACACACACACACACACACACACACACACACTCTCACACATACTGTGACTTTAGCAAAGGAGTATCCCTCTCCGTTTCTGTCTCTTACTTTGACACACTGTCAAATCCCAACATCTCTCCATCATGCTGCCAGTCAGACTGTTAACGGATACATTACAGACTTACAAAAGACCAAATAGGGAAACTTTTATAAAAGTAAGAGATGGTAAAGGATGTCAGTTAAAGGCAAATGTCCTTTGTGTGGGACAAATAAAGGTATTCTGATTATTTAGTTGTCAAGACGGAAACCTCAGAGATGGACTGACAGCAGGGTCTTTTCAAAGGGTGCCTTGATTTAGGAACGGATACATTGTTGGAAGTAATTTTTCTAGCCACATTTTTGCTTTTAATTACTCAATTATTTGGACTGTTTACCAGAACACATTTGATTCAAATTACAAATTTCCTGACATTTTATAAGCCCAACAATTCATTTATTAAAAAAAGAAAATCATCATCAGAATAATTGATAATGAAAATGAACGTTATTCTGCAGTGTAGATTATTTTCAGGGGCTGAAAATGGTAAAAACCTCTGAAAAAAGATGCTGTACTATTTCTCCTCAGTTTTCCTGCTTTACATTTCTTGGTGTGTGTGTGTGTGTGTGTGTGTTTGAGGTCAGGTCATGCAGATGGTGTGAAGTTGCAGCAGACGGTTTCCTCAATTTAACTGCTTTTTTATTATGCAAATCACCCTTTTTATGAGACGCACACTTGTGCCTGTGTGTGAAACCGCGTGTGTCTCTGTGTCCTTGTTTTTGTGCTCATTTTGAATTGATTTCTGTCAATTCAATTAAATAATAACAGAAACAAGATGTCAGTCTGAAACAGTGTTTAATGTGGAGATGTAAACACTGAAGGACTTAACACAGCTTTAGATCAGTGAATGATTCTGTTCACACATTTAAGGGTTTTGCTCTTATTTTACAGCCATCACCAGTCGATTATTCTTCCCCAGCACATGCGCTATTTCTCTGCTTGTTGATGTATTGATTCATCCTGTGTCTTGATTCATCCTGTGTCTTGATTAATCCTGTGTCTTGCCTCCCTTTTTGCTCTTCCTGCAGAGGTGGGAGGTATCAGTGAGGAGACGGCCTCGTGCGATTGGTGGAGTTTGGGCGCCGTGCTGTTTGAGCTCCTGACAGGCATGGTGAGTCAAAAAAAAACTAGTGGAAAAATGTTATCTTTGTTGCTAAGGTGTTGTGGGATGTCTGTAGGTGTCTTGGCTTCCAACACTCTCTATGGTTGTGCCAGGTTGTGTGTGATCCTGTGCGCGTGTCTGTATGCGTTTGTAGTTTGTTGTTTTTTGGAGTGTGCATGTGTGTGAGGTGCATCTTGGCTCCTGTCTCTTACTCTGGTTCTCGGGGAGTGCCAGGGGTGTCGGTGTGACTTTCTCCCCCAGCCTGAGCTCCATCTGCTGGGCCAGGGGGTCAGCTCCACCCGGGCCCCTCTGCTGGCTCCTGGAGCAGCGCCGGGCTCGGAGCTCGCCTGTCTGAGGTCGGCGGGGAAGGTGAAGACTGGGGCAGCTCTCAAGGTGCTGAAAACATGGCTGTCTGCGGGACAATCCTTTTAAGAGAGAGATCCTGAGCGTTTCTGTATGGAAGACAAAAGATACACACTCAGCTGTTATACGTGCACACATGCTAATTATAACTTGCTGCTCTCTTGAAGGACAAACGCACGCACAGTTGCTCGAGCAGACACCCAGTGCAGGTGCACAGCGTCCCTTCAATATTTCATTGTCTATTAAATTTGAATACATTCTAACTGATTGCCAGTGGGCATGTTTTCATATCAGCGATCAGCCGTTCCCATCAATGGCCCTAAACACGAGTCTGAGTGTTAGGTTAGTGTTCCTATGTCGAACCATACACACCCACTTACCTGGGAAAAAAACAACTCAGTCACACAGATGTCTCCTTTGATGATTATGTCTGGGTACAGCCCTGGCAAGGATACACACACACAGGAACATAGTGTCTCTTGATCCTTGCAGGATAAGATCTCGCCTGGAGCAGTCTTGACTGCGGCTAGGAACCCAGCCAGAACTCCTGCGTAAAGAGAGAGAGGCAACAGACTTAACTGATGGAAAACACACACAAACAGTCCACAGGCTTTCTCCTGCCGCACACGTTGTGTTCTAGCCATTTCAATTTGGAGTTGTAGATGCTCTGAAAGATGTGCGATTGCAGCGTCCTGTGATTACGGTCATTATTGTCAATTACTTTAACAACGGGGCTGCGTTCTGTGGTTGGAAAAGCACTTGCAGGTCTTCTGCTCCCTTTCTCTCACTTCTGAGATTTTTGTTTTGTCTTTTTTTGGACTGTGAGTGCAACAATTCCTTGTAATTGACAGTTTAATACGGCCATATTTTACTGTAAAAACAAATCAAAAGCTTTTAGATTTACTGCTGCTTAACTGTTGGTTCTTCCTGTAAAGTTGCTTTGTATTCAAACCAACCAAAAACAATGTGTTTTTCCGTGTCATCACTCACCTTTCCTGACTCACACACCAAGTTCTAAGAAAGAGCAACAGTGGGTAAACCATTATTACCTTGTTGTCGTTGATCAGTGTTGTTTCAGGTGGTTCTTTGGTCTCCTCCTATTTGTCCAGTCCTGGTGCTCTCACACTGACCTTGGCTGTGCGGGTGTCAGTATATCTGTTCTTCAGTCTGTGAGTTTTCTGTTTTGATTGATAGTTATCTTTTCTTTCCACCCCTCCTTCCCTCTGTGCAGTCCCTGCTGCGCTGCCATCCCGCAGGAATCGGCCACCACACGGCTCTCAACATCCCAGAGTCTGTTTCAGAGGAGGCCAGATCTCTGCTGGAGAAGGTGAGAGTCTGGGGTCTTACTGGGAACTTGTATAGATCTTCTGTTACTATAGACTCAAATAAATCCCCGGTAGAAAAGGTTTTTGTTATTTTTCATCCTTTACAAACTCCAAAGGAACTCAAGGAAAAGAAACATGGACATAAAAAAAAAAGTTGAATGATAAGTTTTTTTTTTTAAGTAATAATCTGTTGCATTTTCACATAAATAATATTTACCACTTTCTCTAACTGGCAGGTAAACACAATAATAATGTAATATTAATTAACATTTAAGAGGGTTATTGAAAATGTGCAATTCTTGGCAGGTAAAAGTATGCATAATAGGTTATTCCCTACAGCAGCAGCAGAGGTTTGTTTAAAATAAATACAGTAGAAGAAGAACTGAGTTAGCATGGCAACCAAAACGGTACCTTTTTGTATTGGTAAAACATGCACGAAAAGAGTATTGAAAACTATGAGATAGGTGAGGGATCACTGGAAAGCAAAAAACATGAAAGCAGTGAGATCTCATTTAAAACTAATGTTGCAAAGAATCTCACTATAACTATAAATGATTGGCAATGTATGTATTCGTGCAGATTATAACAGATTAACACAAGCCATAAACATAGAGAAAATATTCTTAATAGCTGAGCTTCCACCATGTTACTATCTTAAAGCCTGTTGCAAATCCTTAACACTTGTAATTTTTAAATGTACAGTATATTAATATGGTAACAATCCGCCATGAATTCTGTGCCGTTTTTGCTGTAAAGGAGTAGACACTATGGCATCTGTTATACTTATTATACTTATTTTAAAAAGATGTGTGTTGTCTCATATTTGGTCTCTGTCTTGTCCCGCAGTTGCTTCAGTTCAATCCGATGGAGAGACTGGGGGCAGGTGTAGGAGGCGTGGATGATATCAAATCCCACCCTTTCTTTGCCAGAGTGGAATGGCACAAATAGACGCTGTGCATTGTGGGACTGCGTGAACCAGAGCTGGGAAGACTGGCTGTCCTCAATGAATCCTTTCAGACTGGACAAACGTATAGTCATACAGTAAATACAAATCTGGCATTTCTGCACACTTCTGTTTTATGGACATTCATTAACCATGTGCTTTTCTTTTCCTGGAATTTGCCAATAAGCAGTATTACCTTCCCTGTAGATCGCTCGCTTCTTTATCCCATAGAGGGTGTAACCTTTTTGTGCAGGGAATATGTGTGGTGCAATAATTTATACAGTAAGTGCGGGTACTGAGTGATGATCCTCTACGACATTGTTGCTTTTACACTCCTCATACAGTAGCTAAGCCAAAATGACACAAGTGAGAAGTGACTACTTTGCGCTTTCAAACAGACATAACATTAATTTAGCTTCCCTAAAAAACACATATGCAATACAGTTCGTTGCCACCTAATATAACACTTTTATAATTTCTCACATAGCCAACTGAGATTTGCTGTGAGTGAGACGGGTTGATCTTTATATTTGATGAGGATAAAATGTAAGATCTTTTTTTTCAACCTGGTTTACAGCCATGCAGCCCATTTACAGTAACACAGATACACACTATACAAGGTCAATGAACACAATGTTTTGAGGTAGGCCTTAGTTTTGTTGTTAGGTGAAGTATTTAGATAAATGAAGATTTAATTATTTAATAGATTATAGCTGGGAAAAGGTGCAGTTTACAGACATCGTGAGCCTTCTCCCTCCATAGACGGGTCCCTTGATGGGAATGAGAACAAATAAGGAGGGCTTGAACCACGTATTTTAAACCAGACCTTTTACAGATTGTTTTTAAGAATTAAAGAGGAAACTCTGTACTGTACAACAATGCTTTTTTTTGCATGGAAGAATATGATTTATGTAATATATTTACACTATGGAAAAAGATCTATTGAACAATAAATAACGTGTGTTTTGTAAATACACCTTTTTTTAATGATGTTGTGTTGATTGCAAGGTACTCCCAGGCCTTGATTATGTCCAACCTGTCAATCATTTCCTGCCTCTTCAATCAAATCACCATTTTTTTTTGTATTGATTTATGTTTGTACACTGCATCTACTTACTTGCCGCACAGATTTGAATGCTGATTTTGTAATTTGTAATCTGTTATTACTGAGTAATGTGGTTAACATCGCCATGGTTACATTACATGCCATATACCACTTCTTATGTAATCCGATGAGAATTATTGGAGCATATACGAAACGCATTGTAATACATTTATCTAACAATACACAGTTAATCACTCCACTGTAGATGCTGCACTAAATTAACTGACAGACAATGTCAATGACCTGGTCCATATTCTACCTATTAACCCTTTTTATCAGACATTAAAACCGCAGTGAGATCCGATTTTCAGTTTTCTATGCTCTATTCTTGTCTGTGCTGTATGTCTCTACGGGTCTGTCAGTGCACTCTGGATAACAATAAACACACCTGGATGAGAACATGGAGTGATGCTTCTTTTATAGATTTACTGATTATGTGTAAGGATCTGGGAGTGTGTGTGTTCTGAGGCTAGAGACCCTCTTATCAGCGGGCCGATGATGCTCCTAGAAAGCCGCTGTCACTCCTGTTGAGTGTCACACTGACGGTAATGTGAGCCAGCACGCACACACACACACATGGCATGTAAACCCCAAGCACTCTTTGATATAGATGGCCCTTTTTGATCGCAGCTTTGGTATCGCCAGCTCAAGTTTTAAACGTTTCTTGATTATTTGTCAAATCTGTTTGGGGAAATGTGACAAACAAGTACTGTATGCAATCATTTTTGAAAATAATATATACAGTGTTCCATTCAACAGCATAGGGGAGATGGTACTTTATTGAGACATTTTCATTAAGATAAACCAAAGCAATGTAGTATATATTTATTTTGGCAAGGCTCAAAAATGTTGGTAAGATATTTTTGGGGAAATTCAGTTTTTTGCGAGAGTTATATGAGACAATTTGGTATCAATCTCCTTATCTTACTCCCTAATCAAATTAAATAAGTGTTTTTCCGAATATATATTTAATTTCTTCAACTTTTTTTCTCTTGACATTACTACAGTTAAACATTTTCTGACAAAGAAATGACTTGAAGTTATTTATGGATGGTTTGGATACTTGCTTTAAAACATTAAGAATTGGATCAGATCATTGAGATCACTTGGCATAGTACTATCTAATTATATATCTAAAAACTAAATGTATTACTAACCTTTACAAATGACAATATTTTCACATTTTGAAAATTCACTTTGGACTTAAACCTAACCTAACGCATTCCTCTATTACCTGAAATGGCACATGCCCATCTGCACACACACACACGCGCACACACAGGTCGGGGGAGTTGTTAGCAGTGTCGCGGTGTTTCCTCTTGTGTCAGCCTCACTGCCACAGGGTCAAGAGTCCCGGCTGATTAGTGCTTGTCATAAGACCTGTCTCTCATTACACACACACTCAGGGCGAGAGGTTCACTTCAGCTCAGAGAAGAAACCTGTCAATCTTACTCAGCGTACATGTGAGATGTGCCTTCCATGTGGTCACAATAGACGCAGGAACCAGGGGCGGACTGGGACTACAAATCAGCCCGGGACTCTCAACCGGCCCACTTCGGTACCGCAAGTACATACAGCTAGTAAATTGTCAACGGGGGGGGGGGGGGTGCTCGTGACTTATCCGACCGGGCCACATCGTCCGACCGGCCCACTTCAGTCCGCCACTGGCAGGAACCCTCAGAGCCCACTTTACCATGCTGTACAATCTTTATATATTCAGTCTATGTGTACAATACATGACGACGTTCCAATTGAACTGATATAAATGGCATATGATTAAATGTGAAGTCTACCTCTGTATATTACAGTTTAACACAACATGTATCGCAAACTCTCAAGATATTTTGCGGCGCTGGAGCATAACTAAGTTCCTTAACTCAAGTTCTGCACTTAATTACAGTTTTGAGGTAATGGAGTATTTCCATTTTCTGAGAATGGCTGGATCATGTCATTTAAGTTAAGCCCGGGCAACATCTTGCAAGAAACAGCGTCTGAGGGCTTCTTAACATTTAATAAACTATGAATGTGTCATACCCAACTAACGGGAAGAAACTCAGCTAACTGACGATATGAACCATTTTTATCGAAACAAAACACAAGTCTCACCAGAAGCGTCTAAATGAGCCCTGAGCGAAAAAATGCTAACGCACTTAGCACAGAACTCTAGGTATAAATACTTTATCACTTATCGGTTCTGCACAACTAAGATATTAGCTAGCAAGCTGATATTCCACAGATTCCAGAAATATAACTATCATCACTGAGCGATCAAAACTCGCGACAGGGGAAGCAAAGCCAGACAACACACGAAGTAGCTTTATGGAGCAAAATCGGGAAATGTGTCTTTACCTTTTGCTGTTTCTGATCAAAGGTTGTGTTCAATGGCATTAAAACGAGAACAACGCAGTTGAAGGTTAATCCATAAATTAATCCAATGTGTCTGTGTCACTTTGAAATGATTACTGATAATCCATTCCATTTTTATGTCAATAACGGAGTTTTCATATATAGCTGCTATGATAGCTTAGTCAATATCACCATACGGTGAATTTGAGACTTCCCCATTTCCAAAAAAAAAAAAAGAGATTTTCCATTAAACTTCATATTCATTGTATTAAGTATATGTTATGCTGTTAGAAATGGATGTTGGTCAAGCTCCCACACTTTTTATAAATTAACTGCAAGTACATGCAAACAGCAAAATGTATCCACCCTGTCATGGACAAAATTCAAAGAGTAAATACATTTTAATTACATAGTGATTATAAAATGTACATTTTCAGAAAGCTATAGTTCCTTTCTCAACAATATATTTCAGTTAATGGAAAAAGTATTTGGAAAATAATGAAATGATGGCAAACTATTTGTACCATGTCCACCCTGTCATGGGAAGGCTTGCTGACAGGGTGGACAATAGGTGCGTTCACACCGGAGTACTTTGGTGTACTTTTCCCACAATAGTTCATCAGAACTACGATATATTTGCGTTCACACCAAAAAGCCCCAGGAACTAAAGTAGCTCAACTTAGTTCGTGAGACTCGCTTTTCAGGCCCTGCTAGAGAGCAGGGACTGTCGTGGGAGAAAGTAGTTCAAACGTCTGATTGGCTGTGCGGAATGCAAACCACGCCCGTTTGACTCTGAATTTGTTGTTGTAAGCGGCCATTGTATTTCCTCGCTGGACAGCACACCCGAAGAGATTCCTTTTGTGAAAGCAGTTATTATAGCAACACTAAATAAATCAATTGGAGCGGTGGAGTGATGAGGATGTGTCTGCGCTTCTGGCGATTTACTCGGAGGACGCGAAGCGCCGCATTCAGAAGCTTCTACTGAATGCAGTTTCAGTGGATCAGCAAAGTTAGCAGACCTGGCAAAGTCATGTCGGGACGACTACCAAGGTAAAATAAAATACATGCACTGCACTGTTTTAATCTGCACAATACTGGTCTTATATGTACTTTTATTTGCTCAGTAGATCGAGCTAGCCATGCTAGAACTTGCTAACGTTAGGTCCAAGCTGGCTAAACAACATCTAGCTAGCTAGCTATTCTCAGCCGTCCCCGCTATGAACACGTTTTGACTTGTGAATAAGTGTGCAATGTTCTGTAATTTGCTTCACTAACTCATGGCACTAATCGTGTGTTTCAGGCGAGGTGTTTCTCTCAGGATTAGAAACTAGTTTTCCCCTCCGGGATAAAACGATAATATAACGTTAGCAATTAGCATGCTAGCTGGACATAATGCTACCTCTAACAATACATTAGTTGCTATAATTTCAAGTAATTTGCAACATTCATTCTACATGTTAATGGTAAAAGCTTAAACAGTTGATTACCTGCATGCCACAAAGACTGATGTTCTAATATATTTGCACATTTAAGTAGAAATGTAATTGAAATTCTATTTATTTTTCCTTTTTTTTATTGATTGTTATAATTGTACTCAGCCATGTTATGTTAGATGTCAATCCACTTACACTGTAACTACTCTGGCCTTGAAAGAAGAAGAAGGTGATATAACTATTAATAAGTAAATCGAAATATGTATTGCATCACCGCTGCTTAGAGTTCATGCACAAGTCATTTGCTTGATAATGAATTGATGCATTGTAGAAATAATTGTAGTCAATATTAAAGAGAGATGTAATTTTGATATTTCAGTCCAAGCTTGATTGGCCCAGCTACCTCAGTATATGTGATGTATAAATAAAAGGATTACATGAAAACGGTTTGATCTTCTATCTCAGAGTAAACTGGACTATTAATCAACATTTTGCCTTGTTGTTGCGATTAAACTGATCTTGTATCTTGCATATTTCACCTTAGGAAAGTGGGCACGCGATGACAGCTTCCTTGACACCATCATGGCGATGGACCGCCGTGCCATGGTCATCAAGGAGAATGAGGACCTGCGTGCCAAGGAGATGCACGACGAACGGCTGCTGCATTCACACAAGGCCCAGGAATCGAGGTGGAGCAACAAAATACCTTTCAGGCTGGGCTTCTGGCAGTGCTAAGCGAGCTGATTAAATCCAACAGGCCTTCAATACAAAAATTAAGAAAAACTTGTCGTTGATAAACTGTACAATGACTTGTTGGGAGGCGTGTGGTGCAGTGGTCTGATGCGTTGGTGTTCGGATCAGGGGAGCACAGGTTCAAACCCCACTGCAGTCAGGATGTCGTTGTGTCCCTGGGCAAGACACTTCACCCCAAATTGCCTACACCTGGGACAGTTAATTTTGTATTATTGTGATTATATATATATATATGCCACTGTTATTAATACTGACACCTAACTTTGCACTAAGGTGTGTCTGCTGCTGAGCCTACCTATTGTTATTATATATATATATATATATTGCCACTGTTATTATATTGTTTTGATACTACTGACACTTATTGATCTGCTGCTGATAAATAAAAGAGAACCTACATGCACGGCACTAGCATCATGACTGTCTTTGTTTAAACCAGCAGCAGTGCAGCGGTACACAGACTAACCTGTGTGTGTGTAACGTAGTTCTTCAGGTGTGCATGCTTAACATGTGTGTATACAAACGTTTTTAAAGAGCTTTCAACCTCATCCCATTGTCTTTAACACACATTTAACATAATATACTCATTAATATACAAATATACAGTATGAGTACTGTTTTGATACTGACATTTAATCTTTGCACTAAGGTAATTGTGTCTGTTGACTGGTAAATAAAAGAGAGAACCAAATGCACTGTACAAAATATCAGATTTATTGTCAATTTACAATTTCCATGCTGTTCAGATGCCTCTCCACAACGTTGCTTCCAGGCGAATACAGAGGAGTTGAAAAGAGCCCTTGGACATTCGGAAATCTTTGATCCACTGCACATGTTGGCAGCACCTCCCACCAGGCCGACGTTCTA